CTTCCACTGTGAGTAGCCCTACCCTCTCTTCCCCTCCCCGCTCCCCCTGTGGTAGCCCTACCCTCTCTTCTCCTTCCCCTTTCTTCCACTTGAGTAGCCTACCCTCTTTCCCCTCCCTCCTTTCCACTGTGAGTAGCCCTACCCTCTCTTCTCCTCTCCCTCTCTCCACTGTGAGTAGCCTACCCTCTCCTCTTCCTCTCTTCCACTGTGAAATGCCCTACCCTCTCCTCTCCTCTCTTCCCCTTGATAGCCCTAACCCTCTCCTCTCCCTCTCTTCCTGTGAAATAGCCCTACCCTCCACCCTCTCCCTCTTTGATGGGGAAACCCTATCCTCTCCTCTCCTCCCCCCTCTTTTTTCCACTGTGAGTAGCCCTACCCTCTCTTCTCCTCTCCCTCTCTTCCACGGGGAGTTTCCCTTAAACCTCCTTTCCTCCCCCTCTTCCCCTGTGATAGCCCTACCCTTTCCTCGACCTCTCTTCCACTGTGAGTAGCCCTACCCTCCTCTCCCTCCCCCCCCTCTTCCACTGTGAATACCCTTAACCCTCTCTTCTCCCTCCCCTCCCCTTTTCCCTGGAGTAGACCACCCTCTCCTCTCCCCTCTCTTCCACTGTGAGTAGCCCTACCCCCCCTCTCCTCCTCACCCCCCTTCCCTGTGGGAGCCCTACCCCTCTTCTCCTCCCCTCTCTTCCCTGTGAGTAACCCCACCCCCCCCTCTTCTCCTCTCCCCTCTTTCCCCTGGGTACCCTAACCCCCTCCTCTCCCCTCTTCCCTGTGAGTAGCCCCCCCCCTCTCTTCTTTTCCCCCCTGTTCCCTGTGAGAGCCCTTCCCTCCCCTCCCCTCTTCCCCGTAGTACCCTCCCTCCCTCCCTCCCCTCTTTCCACTGGATACCCACCCTCTCTTCTCCCCTCCCTCTCTTCCACTGTGTAGCCCTACCCTCTCCTCTCCCCTCTTCCACTGTGATCCCCACCCCTCCTCCCCCCTCTCCCCTTTCCACTGTGGTAGCCCCCACCCCCCTTTTCTCCCGTCCCTCTCTTCCCCTGTGGTAGCCCACCCCCTCTTCCCCTCCCCTCTTCCACTTTGGGGTAGCCCCACCCCTCTTTTCCTCTCCCTCCTTTTCCCCTGTGAGTCCCCCACCCCCTCTTCTCCTCTCCCTCTCTTTCCCCGTTATACCCTACCCTCTCTTCTCCTTTCCCCCCCCCCGCTCTTCCACTTGGTCCCTCCCCCTCTTCTCCCCTCCCTCTCTTTTCCCTGTGAGTAGCCCTACCCCCCCTTTCTCCTGTCCCTCTTTCCCTTGAGTAGCCCCACCCCCCTTTCCCCCTTTTCCTCTCCCCCTCTTCCACGTGAGTAGCCCTACCCCCTCCCTCCTCTCCCTCCCTCTCTTCCCTGGAGTACCCTCCCTCTCTTCCCTCTCCCTCTCTTCCCTGTAGTGCCCACCCTCTCCTCTCCCCCCCTCTCCTCTCTTCCCTGTGATACCCACCCCCTCTTCTCCTCCCCCTTCCCACGTGAGTACCCTACCCTCTCTTTCTCCCTCTGATGATAGCGTCAGCATCTTCAGTTCTACGCCCAGCCGCCTCGGCGAAACCCAACCCCTTTTGCTCCCCCTCCCTTAATAGACCTTTCCCCTTAAAAACAAGAAAAAAGATTCAATAGTATGTTTTTCCTTTTTTTGACGCCGTAGCCGTTTCCTCAAAAAAAGTCAAATGAAACTAAGATAACTCAAAGGGAAACTTCCTTCTTTTGACGTTTTTTGCTGAGGAGTCGTATCGCAAAAAATTTTACATCTAACAAGATTTTTGGTTCAGTGTTTTTGAAGTGAAACAAAGTGCATGAAAACGGTCGTTCCCCTCGTTGAATTACAGACTTTATTGAAGAATCCCTACGTTGACCAAACACCCCCGACTAAGGGGCGTAGACTTTTAGCTCCGAACTTCGGCTTACCTCCAGAAAAAGGTTATTGTGCCAGATCAGCCGAAAAACCCTCACCGAAGTCCAAAAACGAACTTTACTGAACTTTTATCTCTGGGAAGCATGCGGATGCATTTACCCCCTCACCTGCCTTCCGCTCTCTACCCCTCACCTTCCTTCCGCTCTCTACCCCTCCCTTCCGCTCTCTACCCCCCCCTCCCCCCTCTTACCCCTCCTTCCCCCCTCTCTAAACCCCTTTCCCTTCCCTACCCCTCTCTACCCCTCCCTTCCCCTCTCTACCCCCCCCTTCCCCTCCCCTTCCCCTCCCCCACCCCTCCCTTCCCTTCTCTCTAACCCCTCCCTTTCCGCCCCCTCTAACCCCCTCCCTTTTCCCCTCTCTAACCCCTCCCTTCCCTCCTAACCCCTCCCTTCCGCTCTCTACCCCCCTCCTTCCGCTCTCTACCCCTCCCTTCCCCCTCTCTACCCCTCCCTTCCCCTCCCCTCTCTACCCCCCCCTTCCCCTCCCCTATCTACCCTCCCTTCCCCTCCCCTCTCTACCCCCCCCTTCCCCTCTCTACCCCCTCCCTTTCCCTCTCTACCCCTCCCCTTTCCCCCCTCTAACCCCTCCCTTCCCCTCTCTACCCCCCCCCTTCCCCTCTCTACCCTCCCTTCCCCCCCCCTTCCCCCCCTCTACCCCTCCCTTCCCTTCCCTTCCCCTCGCTACCCCCCCCCTCCCTTCCCCCTCTCTACCCCCCCCTTCCCCTCTCTACCCCTCCCTTTCCCCTCTCTACCCCTCCCTTCCCCTCTCTATCCCTCCCTTCCGCTCTCTAACCCCCTCCCTTCCCCTCTCTAAAAACCCCCTCCCTTCCGCTCTCCCACCCCTCCCTTTTCCCCTCTCTTCAACCCCTCCCTTCCCTCTCTACCCCCCCTTCCCGCTCTCTACCCCCTCCTTCCCCTCTCTCTACCCCTCTCCCTTCCCCTCTCTTACCCCTCCCTCCCCTTTCCCTACCCCCCTCCCTTCCCCTCCCTACCCCTCCCTTCCCGCTCTCTACCCCTCCCTTCCCCTCTCTACCCCTCTCTACCCCTCTCTACCCCTCCCTTCCCCTCTCTAAACCCCCCCCTTCCCCTCCCTTCCCCTCTCTAACCCCTCCCTTCCCCTCTCTAACCCCTCCCTTCCCCTCTCTACTAAACCCCCCCCTTTTCCGCTCTCTACCCCCCTTCCCCTCCCCCCCCTTCCGCTCTCTAACCCCAACCAACCCCCACCGCCTCCCCTACCCCCCCTTCCGCTCTCTAAAACCCCTCCCCTTCCGCTCTCATAACCCCTCCCTTCCCCTCCCCTCTCTACCCCTCCCTTCCCCCCTCTCTAACCTCCCTTCCCCCTCCCCTCTCTACCCCTCCCTTCCCTCTTCCACCCTCCCTTCCCTCTCTACCCCTCCCTTCCCCTCTCAACCCCCTCCCTTCCCCTCTCTACCCCTCCCTTCCCCCTCTCTACCCTCCCTTCCCCCCTTCCCCTCTCACCCCTCCCTTCCCTCTCCCTTCCCCTCGCATACCCCTCCCCCCCCCTTCCCCTCTCTACCCCTCCCTTCCCCTCTCCCCCCCCTTCCCCCGTCTCTACCCCTCCCCCTTCCCCTCTCTACCCCTCCCTTCCGCTCTCTAACCTAACCCCTCCTTCCCCTCTCTAAAACCCCCCCCTTCCGCCTCTCTAACCCCTCCCTTCCCGCTCTCTACCCCTCCCTTCCGCTCTCACCCCTCCCTTCCCTCTCTAAACCCCCCCCTTTCCCCTCTCCTCTACCCCTCCCTTCCCCTCTCTAAAACCCCCCTTCCCCTCCCTACCCCCCCTTCCCCTCCCTACCCCTCCCTTCCGCTCTCTACCCCTCCCTTCCCCCTCTAAACCCCCCTCTACCCCTCCTCTTCCTTCCGCTCTCTCCCTCCCTTCCGCTCTCCCACCCCTCCCTTCCGCTCTCTACCCCCCTCCCTTCCCCTCTCTACCCCTCCCTTCCCCTCTCTACCCCTCCCTTTCCCTCCCTACCCCCCCCTTTCCCCTCCTAAAACCACCCCCTCCCCCTCCCTCTCTACCCCTCCCCCTTTCCCCTCCTACTACCCCTCTCCTTTTTCCCCTCTCTATCTCTACCCCTCCCTCCCTCTCCCACTAACCCCCTCCTTCCCTCTCTCCCTTTCCCTTCCCCTCTCTTTACCCAAAACCATACCCCCCTCCCTTCCGCTCTCTTCCCCCCTCCCTTTTTCTCCCCCTCTCTACCCCTCCCTTTTCCCCTCTCTACCCCCCTTCCCCCTCTCTACCCCTCCCCTTCCGCTCTCTAACCCCTCCCTTTTCCCCTCTCTACCCCTCCCTTCCGCTCTCTACCCCTCCCTTCCCCTCTCCTACCCCCCCTTCCCTTCTACTACCCCTCCCTTCCGCTCTCTAAACCCCTCCCTTCCCTCTCTACCCCCCCTTCCCCCCTCTCCCCCCCTTTTTGCTCTCCCAAACCCCCTCCCTTCCCCTCTCTAAACCCCCTCCCTTCCGCTCTCTAATTAAACCCCCCCTCCTCCCCTCTCTAAAACCCCCCCCTTCCGCTCTCTAAACCCCCCCCTCCCCTCCCCCCTTACCCCTCCCTTCCCTCTCTACCACCCTCCCTCCCTCTCTCCCTCTCTACCACCCCCCCCTTCCTCTCTCTACCCCATCCCTTCCCCTCTCTACCCCCTCACTCTACCCCCCTCTCTTCCCTCTCACCCCTCCCTTCCGCTCGCTAACCCTACTACCAACTAACCCCTCCCTTCCCCTCTCCTAACCCCTCCCTTCCGCTCTCTACTACCCCCCCCCTTCCCCTCGCTACCCCTCCCTTCCCCTATCTAAACCCCTCCCTTTTATCCTCTCTCGCGTACCCCTCCCTTCCCCTCTCTACCCCTCCCTAACAATTTCTTCAACTGTCCCTCCCTACCTCCTTTCTGCTCTGCCAGATAAACCCGTTTCCTAGGGCCCAGAGTTTGTCCTGGTCAGGCCACAGGGTCAGGAGGCTCTACTCCATCCACAGAACAGCTTGTAATTTTATATAAATAGTTTTGAAACCATTAGGAATAGCTGGTTAATGACTGTTTCTCTGTCTTTCTTGATGACTCTGTGTAGATCGTAAGGATACGCGTATCAGAAAGATGTACAGCGGTTCTATGAAGATCACTAACCAGGTGTTTGAGGATACCTATGAAGACTCCAACAGCACTGAGTACAGAGCACTGGCCGAACAGGTCGTCAAACAGGTCAGAAAACACCTTGGCCGTGTCTGAAATCTGTCTTGCCTTCTACTTACTCAAACTGCATACTATTTAGAACAGGTACAGTGCCTTGCAAAAGTATTCATCCCCCTTGGCGTTTTTCCTATTTTGTTGCATTACAAACTGTAATTTAAATTGATTTTTATTTGGATTTTATGTAATGGACATACACACAACAGTCCAACTTGGTGAGGTGAAATGAAGAAAATAACTTGTTTCAAAACATTATAAAAAAATAAATAACGGAAAAGTGGTGCGTGCATATGTATTCACCCCCTTTGCTATGAAGCCCCTAAATAACATCTGGTGCAACCAATTACCTTCAGAAGTCACATAATTAGTTAGATTGCACACAGGTGGACTTTATTTAAGTGTCACATGATCTCAGTATATATACACCTGTTCTGAAAGGCCCCAGAGTCTGCAAAACCACTAAGCAAGGGGCACCACCAAGCAAGCGGCACCATGAAGACCAAGGAGCTCTCCAAACAGGTCAGGGACAAAGTTGTGGAGAAGTACAGATCAGGGTTGGGTTATAAAATAATATCTGAAACTTTGAACATCCCAAGGAGCACCATTTTAAATCCATTATTAAAAAATTGAAAGAATATGGCACCACAACAAACCTGCCAAGAGTGGGCTGCCCACCAAAACTCACGGACCAGGCAAGGAGGGCATTCATCAGAGCGGCAACAAAGAGACCAAAGATAACCCTGAAGGAGCTGCAAAGCTCCACAGCGGAGATTGGAGTATCTGTCCATAGGACCACTTTAAGCCGGACACTCCACAGAGCTGGGCTTTACAGAAGAGTGTCCAGAAAAAAGCCATTGCTTAAAGAAAAAAATAAGCAAACATGTTTGGTGTTCGCCAAAATGCATGTGGGAGACTCGCCAAACATATGGAAAAGGGTACTCTGGTCAGATGAGAGTAAAAGTGAGCATTTTGGCCATCAAGGAAAAACGCTATGAAACTGGTCAGAATTGAAGGAATGATGGATGGCGCTAAATACAGGGAAATTCTTGAGGGAAACCTGTTTCTGTCTTCCAGAGATTTGAGACTGGGACGGAGGTTCACCTTTCAGCAGGACAATGAACCTAAGCATACTGCTAAAGCAACACTTGAATGGTTTAAGGGGAAACATTTAAATGTCTTGGAATGGCCTAGTTAAAGCCCAGACCTCAATCCAATTGAGAATCTGTGGTATGACTTAAAGATTGCTGTACACCAGCGGAACCCATCCAACATGAAGGAGTTGGAGCGGTTTTGCCTTGAAGAATAGGCAAAAATCCCAGTGGCTAGATGTGCCAAGCTTGTAGAGACATACCCCAAGAGACTTGCAGCTGTAATTTCTGCAAAAGGTGGCTCTACAAAGTATTGACTTTGGGGGGGTGAATAGTTATGCACGCTCAAGTTCAGTTTTTTTTGTCTTATTTCTTGTTTGTTTCACAATAAAAAATATTTTGCCTCTTCAAAGTGGTAGGCATGTTGGGTAAATCAAATGATAAAAGTAATCCTTCTACCCCACCCCTACTCCACCCCGAAATAAAAAATGAAAAAATATATAAAAAAATATGTGTATATATATATATATATATATATTATATCCGAGTGGCGCAGTGGTCTAAGGCACTGCATCGCAGTGCTAACTGTGCCACTAGAGATCCTGGTTCGAATCCAGGCTCTGTTGTAGCCGGCCGCGACCGGGAGACATGGGGCGGCGCACACTTGGCCCAGCGTCGTCCAAGTTAGGGGAGGGTTTGGCCGGCAGGGATGGCGTTTTCAATGCCAGGGTTGTGGGTTCGATTCCCATGGGGGGCCAGTATGAAAAAAAATAATGTATGCACTCACTAACTGTAAGTCGCTCTGGATAAGAGCGTCTGCTAAATGACTAAAATGTAAATGTAATGTAAATGTATATATTGAGAAGAAAAAAAAAATGTTAACATATACTATTGTTAAACATATACTATAAAAAATTAGAAAAAATACAAATTATAAAGTGGTTGTCCCACTGGCTATCATAAGGTGAATGCACCAATTTGTAAGTCGCTCTGGATAAGAGCGTCTGCTAAATGACGTAAATGTAAAATGTAATACAAATCCCCCCCCAAAAAACAATTTTAATTCCAGGTTGTAAGGCAACAAAATAGGGAAAATGCCAAGGGGGGATGAATACTTTCGCAAGCCACTGTATGGGCAACTCCAGTCCTGGGGCACCTGATTGGTGTCACACTTTTCCCCCAGCCCTATAACTAACACACCTTAAGCTAGTTGCATTCCTAACTGAAAACCATGATTGGTTGTTTATAGGAGAGCAGCAGGTCGCAACCAGGCCCCTGAGGACTGGAGTTGCCCATCCCTGATTTTACAACAAACTGTTTAGTAAAATCAAATGCAGTAAGCAACAAATATCAACATACTAGGCTCCTCCTACTGAGAATACGTCATCTACTGCACAATAGCATTGATTCCCGCCATTCGTTTGGAAGGGGAGGGGTAGAGTGTGGAAGGCAGGGGTAGAGTGTGGAAGGGGAGGGGTAGAGTGTGGAAGGGGAGGGGTAGAGTGTGGAAGGGGAGGGGTAGAGGGTGTCCCCTTATCACATTATGAGCTGATAATCAGTACACAGTAAGTCTGGAAAGACTCTTCTCTTCCTCAGAAGTATGCATCTAATTCTACTGGATGAAGAGCTGTAATGAGGATGACATCCTGGCATTTAAAGCAGACTACATTTTTAGAAATTTAACATACTATAAAACTGTATATTTTCGCGTACCCGAAAGGCCTACTATTTAGAACACAAGTATTATGGGTATTCAGACATGGCTCTTCTTTCATACTGGAATACTGTTGGAGTCCCAAATGGCCTATCCCCTTTACAGTGCTCTACTTTTGACTGGGTGTCATTTGGGTTGTAGTCATGGTCTTTCCACTACTGATAAGTCACTTTAATAAATCAATCAATCATTTGTGTCTGAGGATAATACATTGTGCAGCAAGATTCACACGCAAACATTCTAAATGAAAGAAAATATAATCATTTCAGTTAATTCATTCCTGTGTTTTTTTTTTTTTTTTCATTTTTCAGCTGAGAACACTCTACAACAAGATGCCCCAGCTGGCCAAGTACTATGTTGGTTCCACCATACAAGCCTTCAGGTACAGTAACTGTATGAGTGTGATCGCATGCTGATAATCTGCGTGATCTTTCCACCATTGCATGCCTGTTTGCTAATCCCCATGTAGCTGATCTGTTTGAATCCATAACAGAGCAGAGATTTACCACACCTTTTGGACACTTTTTAATTTTCTCCTTTTTCAAGTTACACCATTGTTCTGTTACCACCGTTATTTATCTTGTTAAACCATTCAACTATACCACCATTATTCTCAATAAATCATTTGGTCAGCATGCTACACATTGTTCCAATAGCCACATCAGCATAACGGTTAGAAGGAAGCAAGGTGTTGGACTTTCGAACTGTTATTCTACTGTAGATAGAGGGACTGTAGATACTACAGGGCCGTGAAGAAGTATTTGCCCCGCTTTCTAATGTTCTCTACTTTTACATATTTTTGAATATACTGAATGTTATTACATTTTACATTTTAGTCATTTAGCAGACGCTCTTATCCAGAGCGATTTACAGGAGCAATTAGGGTTAAGTGCCTTGCTCAAGGGCACATCGACAGATTTTTCACCTAGTCGGCTCAGGGATTAGAACCAGCGACCTTTCGGTTACTGGCACAACGCTCTTACCCACTAAGCTACCTGCCGCCCTATCAGATCTTCAACCAAAAACCTAATATTAGATAAAGGTAACCTAAGTGAACACAAAACACAACAATTACACTTATTTCATTTATTTCATAAACAAAGTTATGCAGCACCCAATGTCCCTGTGTGAAAAAGTAATTGCATCCCCAACACATCACACCACCACCACCATGCTTGACCGTTGGTTTGAGGTTCTTACTGTGGAATGCAGTGTTTGGTTTTCGCCAGACATAATGGGACCCATCTCGTCCAAAAAGCTATACTTTTGAATCATCTGTCCATAGAACATTCTTCCAACAGTCTTGATGATCATCCAAGTGCATCCAGGTGCTTTTTGGCAAACTTGAGTCAACTGTTTGGACGACATGGGTCCCGTTATGTCTGGCGAAAACCAAACACTGCATTCCACAGTAAGCACCTCATACCAACAGTCAAGCATGATGGGGGTAGTAGGAAGGTTTGGGGATGCTTTGCTGCCTGAGGACCTGGACGACTTGCCTTAATAGAAGGAGCCATTAATTCTGCTCTGTATCAGAGAATTCTACAGGAGAATGTCAGACCATCCGTATGTGAGATGAAGTGCAGCTGGGTCATGCAGCAAGACAATGATCCAAAACACACAATCAAGTCTACATGAAAATGGCTAAAAAGCAACACCTTTTGAAGTTTTGGAATGGCCTAGTCAAAGTCCAGACCTAATCCCAATTGAGATGTTGTGGTAGGACTTGAAACGAGCAGTTCATGCTTGAAAACCCACAAATATTGCTGAGTTAAAGCAGTTCTGCGACGTGAGAGGCTGATCAACAACTACAGGAAGCATTTGGTTGCAGTCATTGAAGCTAAAGGTGTCATGAAGCAAGGTGTTGGATATTCTAACTTATTCCACTGTAGATATTAGAATGAAACACTTGAATAATGTTTGTTTATGTATGTATTCCAGTGAAGGCAGTGTGATAGCCTACTACCTGTCAGAGTTTCAAGTGCCATCTGGTCAGGAGGCAGCGGTGGACAAGGCCATGTCCTCCATGGACAAGATAGTGGATAAGGAGCAGAGGACGTTCTCTCTCAACAAGCCTGGCAACGATCTGGTGTTTGATGATGTCGTGAACTCTGCTCTGGACTCTAGAATGTTCTCAACATCCTTCAGTGGTGAGTTCTGCTCTTATTCCAGCAGCACTTATGAATTATACATAATCTGCTTGCACCTGAGCTTATATCAGTTAGAGTAGAGAATTCCCTCTGAATGTGACCAGTTACCACAGTAAATGCTGTGAAAGTTTGGAAGGTGAATTCTGTGAATCAGACATACAGTGGCTTGCGAAAGTATTCCCCCCCCCCTTGGCATTGTTGCCTTACAACCTGGAATTAAAATTGTTTTTTGGGGGGGGGTTTGTATAACATTTTACATTTACGTCATTTAGCAGACGCTCTTATCCAGAGCAACTTACAAATTGGTGCATTCACCTTATAGCCAGTGGGACAACCACTTTATTTATTTATTTTTTCTAAAATTATAGTATATGTTTATTTTTGTTATTTTTTCTATAAGAATATTTTTATATTTTTTTCCTTCTTTTTTTTGTGGGGGGGGGGGGATAGAATGATTACTTTTATCATTTGATTTACACAACATGCCTACCACTTTGAAGATGCAAAATATTTTTATATATTTTTTTCTTGTGAAACAAACAAGAAATAAGACAAAAAAACTGAACTTGAGCGTGCATAACTATTCACCCCCCCAAAGTCAATACTTTGTAGAGCCACCTTTTGCAGCAATTACAGCTGCAAGTCTCTTGGGGTATGTCTCTATAAGCTTGGCACATCTAGCCACTGGGATTTTTGCCTATTCTTCAAGGCAAAACTGCTCCAGCTCCTTCAAGTTGGATGGGTTCCGCTGGTGTACAGCAATCTTTAAGTCATACCACAGATTCTCAATTGGATTGAGGTCTAGGCTTTAAATAGGCCATTCCAAGACATTTAAATGTTTCCCCTTAAACCACTCGAGTGTTGCTTTAGCAGTTTGCTTAGGGTCATTGTCCTGCTGGAAGGTGAACTTCCGTCCCAGTCTCAAAACTCTGGAAGACTGAAACAGGTTTCCCTCAAGAATTTCCCTGTATTTAGCGCCATCCATCATTCCTTCAATTCTGACCAGTTTCCCAGTCCCTGCCGATGGAAAAACATCCCCACAGCATGATGCTGCCACCACCATGCTTCACTGTGGGGATGGTGTTCTCGGGTGATGAGAGGTGTTGGGTTTGCACCAGACATAGCGTTTTTCCTTGATGGCCAAAAAGCTCAATTTTACTCTCATCTGACCAGAGTACCTTCTTCCATATGTTTGGCGAGTCTCCCACATGCCTTTTGGCGAACACCAAACATGTTTGCTTATTTTTTTTTTTAAGCAATGGCTTTTTTCTGGACACTCTTCTGTAAATCCCAGCTCTGTGGAGTGTCCGGCTTAAAGTGGTCCTATGGACAGATACTCCAATCTCCGCTGTGGAGCTTTGCAGCTCCTTCAGGGTTATCTTTGGTCTCTTTGTTGCCTCTCTGATGAATGCCCTCCTTGCCTGGTCCGTGAGTTTTGGTGGGCAGCCCACTCTTGGCAGGTTTGTTGTGGTACCATATTCTTTCAATTTTTTAATAATGGATTTAAAATGGTGCTCCGTGGGATGTTCAAAGTTTCGGATATTTTTTTATAACCCAACCCTGATCTGTACTTCTCCACAACTTTGTCCTTGACCTGTTTGGAGAGCTCCTTGGTCTTCATGGTGCCGCTTGCTTGGGGGTGCCCCTTGCTTAGTGGTTTTGCAGACTCTGGGGCCTTTCAGAACAGGTGTGTGTATATATACTGAGATCATGTGACAGATCATTTGACACTTGGATTGCACACAGGTGGACTTTATTTAACTAATTTTGTGACTTCTGAAGGTAATTGGTTGCACCAGATCTTATTTAGGGGCTTCATAGCAAAGGGGGTGAATACATATGCACGCACCACTTTTCCGTTATTTATTTTGTAGAATTATTTGAAACAAGTTATTTCTTTCATTCCATTTTAAATTACAGATCGTAATGCAACAAAATAGGAAAAATGCCAAGGGGGATGAATACTTTTGCAAGGCACGGTAGATGTTTATTATCCTAAAGTATGTGGACACTATTTCAAATTAGTAGATTCGGCTATTTCAGCCACACCCGTTGCTGACAGGTGTATAAAATCGAATACACAGCCATGCAATCTCCATAGACAAACATTGGCAGTAGAATGGCCCATACTGAAGAGCTCAGTGACTTTTAACATGGCACCGTCATAGGATGCCACATTTCCAACAAGTCAGTTCGTCAAATTTCTACCATGCTAGAGCTGCCCCGGTAAACTATAAGTGATGTTATTGTGAAGTGGAAACGTCTAGGAGTACCAACGGCTCAGCCGTGAAGTGGTAGGCCACACAAGCTCACAGAACGGGACCGCCGTGGGCTGAAGCGTGTAAAAATAGTCTGTCCTCAGTTGCAAAACTCACTACCGAGTTCCAAACTGCCTCTGGAAACAACGTCAGCACAATAACTGTTCGTCGGGAGCTTCATGAAGGATTTCTATGGCCGAGCAGCCATAGCCTAAGTACGGGCCAAGCCTAAGATCACCATGCTCAATGCCAAGCGTCGGCTGGAGTGGTGTAAAGCTCGCCGCCATTGGACTCTGGAGCAGTGGAAACACGTTCTCTGGAGTGATGAATCACGCTTCACCATCTGGCAGTCCGACGGACGAATCTGGGTTTGGCGGATGCCAGGAGAACGCTACCTGCCCTGATGCATAGTGCCAACTGTAAAGTTTGGTGGAGGAGGAATAATGGTCTGGGGCTGTTTTTCATGGTTTGGGCTAGGCCCCTTAATTCCAGTGAAGGGAAATCTTAACGCTACAGCATACAATGACATTCTAGATTATTCTGTGCTTCCACCTTTGTGGCAACAGTTTGGGAAGGCCCTTTTACTGTTTCAGCACGACAATTCCCCCGTGTACAAAGCGAGGTCCACACAGAAATGGTTTGACGAGATCGGTGTGGAAGAACATGACTGGCCTGCACAGAGCCCTGACCTCAACCCCATCGAACACATTTGGGATGAATTGGAACGCCGACTGCGAGCCAGGCCTAATCGCCCAACATCAGTGCACGGCCTCACTAGTGCTCTTATGGCTGAATGAAAGCAAGTCCCCGCAGCAATGTTTCAACATCTAGCGGAAAGCCTTCCCAGAAGAGTGGAGGCTGTTATAGTAGCAAAGGGGGGACTCCATATTAATGCCCATGATTTTGGAATGAGATGTTGTTTGAGCAGGTGTCCACATACTTTTAGCCATGTAGTGTACTTCCTCCTAGCATGAGAATGAGGACATATCTGAAATGGCACCCTATTCCCTATGTAGAACCTTGTGCGGCTCTGGCCAGAAATAGTGCACTATATAGGGACTAGGGTGCCATTAGGACGTGTTCTGAGTGTCCATGTCTCCTCAGAATACTACAGGTACACAGAACACACCAGAGCAAATCAGATTGGAACAATCGTGTCACCTGGTTTCCCCAATGCTCCATACCCGCCCAACACCTTCATCCAATGGCAGCTGAGAGCCGACCCTGGTCACGTGCTCAAACTGGACTTTGATACCTTTAACCTAGAGGAGGACTGTCGTAACGACTTTGTTAAGGTCTACGACTCCCTGGTGGCCATCGAGAGCTTTGCCATGGAAGAGTGAGTCTGCTGTCTGTCTGCACTGTGGTTAGGGGACCTACTATAACAGCCTGGTTAGGGGACCTAATCTATCAGCCTGGTTAAGGGACTTAATCTATCAGCCTGGTTAGGGGACCTAATCTAACAGCCATTGGTTAGGGGACCTACTATAACAGCCTGGTTAGGGGACCTAATCTAACAGCCTGGTTAGGGGACCTAATCTATCAGCCTTTGGTTAGGGGACCTAATCTAACAGCCTGGTTAGGGGACCTAATCTATCAGCCTTTGGTTAGGGGACCTAATCGAACAGCCTGGTTAGGGGACCTAATCTAACAGCCTGGTTAGGGGACCTAATCTATCAGCCTTTGGTTAGGGGACCTAATCTATCAGCCTTTGGTTAGGGGACCTAATCTATCAGCCTTTGGGTTAGGGGACCTAATCTATCAGCCTTTGGTTAGGGGACCTAATCTATCAGCCTTTGGTTAGGGGGACCTAATCTATCAGCCTTTGGTTAGGGGACCTAATCTAATCAGCCTTTGGTTAGGGGGACCTAATCTATCAGCCTTTGGTTAGGGGACCTAATCTATCAGCCTTTGGTTAGGGGACCTAATCTATCAGCCTTTGGTTAGGGGACCTAATCTATCAGCCTTGGTTAGGGGACCTAACTATCAGCCTTTGGTTAGGGGACCTAATCTATCAGCCTTTGGTTAGGGGACCTAAT